GACTGTTCAGTGTCCAAGACCATCATGCTCTGCTTCTACAGAGCATCCACCAATCACTGCTGAGCTACGGGATTACAGCTGCTTTGGGAATCTTCTTGTAAAACACAAATAATCAACTTGTTTAGAACCGCTGGGAAAATCAAGGGCACGCCTGTCCCTCTTGGCCCCCAGGAGCTCTATGAGCAGACCATGAGGGGACAGACCAGGAGCGTCCTCTCTGATCCCACACATGTACTGAATATGAGCTGTTGAACTCTGGGAGGAGGTACAGAGTGCCTCGGTGCCGACTCAATCGCTTTAAGAACTCATTCATACCCGTTTCAGTGAATCTGTTAAATAAGGACATGAGGAGATGAAGTGTGTGTGAGCAGCACGTGTGTTGGTGTCTTTTCTATGAATGTTTTTTTTTACTTAAATGTAGCGGACCCATCAGTCCAAACCAAATCTCTCCTAAAGGAGACAAAAATAAACAAATCTTGAATCTTGAATCTTGACAGGACGTGACGTACCCTGGCGGTGCAGTCTGCTGGGTTTATACACGGAGATATAGTAGAAGAAGAAGTGGTTTATACACAGAGATATAGTAGAAGAAGAAGCATCTTTTTGTGCGGTGTACGTTTGTAGCAACCGCACAAATAGAGAGAAAGACCAGAGTTTGTTCATGTTCCAACTGTGGTCTCATATAAAGGAAGACACTTTGAAAAAAAATCAGGCTTTCCCAGATAAGCGCCCCCTGCAGGCCACCCCAATGAAACGCACCAATTTCTTCTGGTCTTTTTTCTCCAAAAATGCCCGAAGACTCTTTTGAGAAATATTTGTTAGTCCTCCCTTAGAATTGAGTGTCCCTGATTAAGACTGCTCCAACAACCGTACACTGCTAAAAACATGTCCCATAGGTCTGTGCCTCCTGTACCGGCCCCTCCCATCTCTGTGTGGAGTGAGAGACTAATGCCCAAAAATAACAATTGTAAACCGCTTTGTGACTCTGGTCTGTGAAAGGCGGAATATAAATAAAGATTACTTACACCGCACAGGAGGAGAGCCTTTTGACTCCAAAACAGACTTTACATAGTTTTCAATGGGAGCATCTCTGCTCATGCGCCCCCTACAGGCCAGGTTCATGAAACCCAAGAATATGAATAAATAAAGAGGATCGTTACCTAGAAATGAAGTGGACGGCAGGAACTTCAAGTTTAAATCGTTATCGTCGAACATCGAGGGCGGAGCGTGGTGGTTCTGTAGCAGCTCGAATCTGGGCTCGGCGCGTTCTGACTTGGGCTGAGTCTGCGGCACCAGGGGGTCCGGGAGAGGGGGGAGATGGGGAGAGGACTGGGGCAGGACCACTGCGTTGGGTAGAGGGAGGGAGGAGTTCTGAGGGGGAGGGAGAGGGGGGGCTTGGTTCTGGGAGTGGAAGGCCGAATTCTGGAGGGGAACGGAGTTTGGAGAGAGGAGCGCTTGGTTCTGGGGGAAGAGGGGAGAATTATGGTGGGGGAGGGACGAGTTCTGGAGGGGGAGGGGAGAGTTCTGGAGGTGTAGGGAAGAGTTCTGGAGGGATGGGGCAGAGTTCTGGAGGGGTGGGGCAGAGTTCTGGAGGAGTGGGGCAGAGTTCTGGAGGGGGAGGGCTTGGTTTTGGAGGGAGAAGGCAGAGTTCTGGAGGGGTGGGGCTTGGTTCTGGAGGAGGAGGGCTTGGTTCTGGAGGGGTGGGGCTTGGTTCTGGAGGGGTGGGGCTTGGTTCTGGAGGAGGGGGACTTGGTTCTGGAGGAGGGGGGCTTGGTTCTGGAGGGGGAGGGCTTGGTTCTGGGGGAGGGAGAGGGGTTTGGGGGTGTCCTCGGTGGTCAGGGAGTGGTTCTGGACGGATGGATCAGTGGCTTTGGCTCCAGACTTGTCCAAACAGACCGAGTGCTGCAGCGCCATCTGAGCGTCTGTCGACACATGAGGAAAAACATGTTAGAGTCACATTTGTCCACTTCTTGGCAAAATAAAATAAAAGTTTATCTTATTTTATTTTTAAAACCAATGCTTAGGGTTTTTTACCTTCACTCAGGTTTAAAAATGTGTTAAAATAAGTGAGCTCATAGACTGTACATTAGGACGGAGCCAGGACAGAGTGTTTGCCTTCAGGCAGAAGACGGGGATTCAACATAAGCTAGCTGGAGCCCATTTCCTTATATGGACATTTGGGGCAGACGTGTTGCTAAGACGGTTGCTAAGGCAAGTTGGAGTTTCCCACATGAAAGAAAGCATCTGATTTGTCGATTCATATGAGGATTTATGAAGACAAAGCCAAAATACAAAACTGAGATCAAGGAGTTTACTTTAAGTCAAAAAGAAGAAAGTCCATGAGCACTTCCTTATAGCGGTTTATAAGGTCACGAGTTCACATGGTCTCATAAACTGTCTGCGTTGCAGCCTCAGTCCAGGATTCAGATAATTCTGTAATAATAATAATAATAATAATAATAATATTAATGATGCATTGGTTTTATAAAGCGCTTTTCAGGACGCTCAAAGATGCTTCACGTCATTATTCATTCAATCCGTAGCCACAGCTGCCCTGGGGCACACTGACGGAAGCAAGGTAACCTCACACCACCACCAACCATTCACACACACATCAGACTGATTCTAATGTGGGGGAAGTGTCTTGCCTAAGGACACAACCACAGTTTGCAGTTTACAGCTGCAGCCGCCCCACTGTGGCACCACCTAACCCAGAGGTTAAGTGTCTTGCCCAAGGACACAAAGACAGCAGACATCAGTGGGAGTCGGTGGAGAAAGTCTTGTGGTGGACTCGAACCCACGACCTTCAGGCTTAAAGGCCAATGCTCTACCACCTGAGCCACTGTCGCCCCAATAATAGAATATATAAATAAATATATAATTAACACTCTCATTATTATCATTATTTTGTATACGTTTTCATTAAGAATCCAGTCCAGTCCAATTCAACATACTTTTGTATCGCTCTAAATCACAACAGTAGTTATCTCAGGAGACATTGGTCCATAAATGTTGATCATAACTACATCAGGCGCCGACACCGGCCCCAGAGCGACTGACCTCGGACGTGGATCTTGCGGTGCTCCTTGAGGCTGCACTTCTGGTTGAAGCAGCGGCCGCAGGTCTCGCACTGGAACGGCTTCTCCCCCGTGTGGATCATCTTGTGGCGCTCCAGGTGCGCCGAGCGCTCGAAGCACTTGCCGCAGTACGGACAGATCTTCTCCTTCTTCTGCTCCACGTTGAAGGAGTGGAAGGTGAAGTGGCGGACGCTTGGCCCCGTGTCCACGGAGGGCGCAGACAGATGTGACAACACCAGGCTGTTCTCGGGACGTCCCATGTTGGCAGGTTGAGTCTGCTCACCGTCGCGTTCCAAGATGGAGGCTCTGGACGGTTCTGAGGGCCGCGCGCCGAGGTCCTCACTGCGGCTGTCGATGGGTCGGTTCTGGATCCCCGGCAGCGGCTGGTTGTGGTGGTTGTGCTGGTTGTGGTTGTTGTGGTTGTTGTTGTTGTTGTTGTTCGTTGGGACAAAAGTGACAAATAAAGAAGGCTCTTTCTTCAGGACGGCCATGTTTTCTGTGGAGACAAAGACAGAAAAACAATTCATTTCTCAGTGGTTTAAACAACACATAACAGACACATAGAGCCATTGGTCCATAATAACAGACACATAGAGCCATTGGTCCATAATAACAAACACATAGAGCCATTGGTCCATAATAACAAACACATAGAGCTTTTGGTCCATAATAACAAACACATAGAGCCATCGGTCCATAATAACAGACACATAGAGCCATTGGTCCATAATAACAGACACATAGAGCCATTGGTCCATAATAACAGACACATAGAGCCATTGGTCCATAATAACAGACACATAGAGCCATTGGTCCATAATAACAAACACATAGAGCCATTGGTCCATAATAACAAACACATAGAGCTTTTGGTCCATAATAACAAACACATAGAGCCATCGGTCCATAATAACAGACACATAGAGCCATTGGTCCATAATAACAAACACATAGAGCCATCGGTCCATAATAACAGACACATAGAGCCATTGGTCCATAATAACAAACACATAGAGCCATTGGTCCATAATAACAGACACATAGAGCCATTGGTCCATAATAACAAACACATAGAGCTTTTGGTCCATAATAACAAACACATAGAGCCATTGGTCCATAATAACAAACACATAGAGCCATCGGTCCATAATAACAGACACATAGAGCCATTGGTCCATAATAACAGACACATAGAGCCATTGGTCCATAATAACAAACACATAGAGCTTTTGGTCCATAATAACAAACACATAGAGCCATTGGTCCATAATAACAAACACATAGAGCCATTGGTCCATAATAACAAACACATAGAGCCATTGGTCCATAATAACAAACACATAGAGCCATCGGTCCATAATAACAGACACATAGAGCCATTGGTCCATAATAACAAACACATAGAGCCATTGGTCCATAATAACAGACACATAGAGCCATTGGTCCATAATAACAGACACATAGAGCCATTGGTCCATAATAACAGACACATAGAGCCATTGGTGCATGAGGGAACGAGACCAATGTCCATAAATGTGAATACATGTGTAGAACTGTCTCAGCTCATCACTGTCCTTAAGACTTCAATTACATTTATTTTTGTATCTCCCTAAATCACAACAGCAGTCGCCTCGGGGACTTTACAAACCTGTCGATTCGCCAACACAGATCAGAGAACGCAAAGATAGAAAACATATAGAGGCAGTGTGATTGTTTTTATCAGTTTTTGTGGCGCACTTTGAGTTGCCCTGTGTATGAACTGTGCCATACTGATAAACTTGCCTTGTCTTAATCTGAAAACCTACCAGCAGGATGCCAGTCCCTGTGCTCCTCAGAGTCCCAGCAGGAGTCCAGTCCCTGTGCTCCTCAGAGTCCCAGCAGGATGCCAGTCCCTGTGCTCCTCAGAGTCCCAGCAGGAGGCCAGTCCCTGTGCTCCTCAGAGTCCCAGCAGGAGGCCAGTCCCTGTGCTCCTCAGAGTCCCAGCAGGATGCCAGTCCCTGTGCTCCTCAGAGTCCCAGCAGGAGGCCAGTCCCTGTGCTCCTCAGAGTCACAGCAGGAGGCCAGTCCCTGTGCTCCTCAGAGTCCCAGCAGGAGGCCAGTCCCTGTGCTCCTCAGAGTCGGAGTTGGTTTCTATGGCTGTAACCTTAAATGTAATCAGATTGTAAAATGACCAATCAGAGCGGGAGGCGAGTGGGAGACGATGGTTCTTCTTCATGGTTTCTGAAGAGCAAACACACCGAGGCTGAGTGGCTTCAAGAGACGACACACGGAGGAAATTTAATGAAGAGGTAAGAACATCTCGGTGTGACTCCCTTTGGAACCTCGGCTTCTACAAACAAATGTCAAACTAACGCAAAGCACAGAGCTCCAGGGACCAGAGCACTTTTGTTGCTTTTTTTGTATTTTGTTGAAAATGGGGCCGAGACTGAGACAGTAGACCCAGGACTGAGGCTGTAGACCCAGGACTGAGGCTGTAGACCCAGGACTGAGGCTGTATAGACCCAGGACTGAGGCTGTAGAGACCCAGGACTGAGGCTGTAGAGACCCAGGACTGAGGCTGTAGACCCAGGACTGAGGCTGTATAGACCCAGGACTGAAGCTGTACAGACCCAGGACTGAAGCTGTACAGACCCAGGACTGAGGCTGTAGACCCAGGACTGAAGCTGTACAGACCCAGGACTGAGGCTGTAGACCCAGGACTGAGGCTGTACAGACCCAGGACTGAGGCTGTAGACCCGGGATTGAGACTGTAGACCCAGGACTGAGGCTGTATAGACCCAGGACTGAGGCTGTAGATTGAGTCCTAGATCCAGAGATTCTTATGTTTGAAAGTCACCACTTCTTGACGCCTTTTATGAAAATAATCATAATTGACATGTACTGGAACTATGTGTGACAGTTTTATTTCCCAGGAACTAGCTCTAAACAGTTGCCATAGTTACCGTGACAGGTTTTTCAGCTGCCCTCCACCACAATGCTAAACTATAGGCTATTTGTAAGGTTGTGATGTCACATGAGTGCTACCTATTGGTTGATTATGTCGCAGTATCAGCTCAGATAAGAACTAGGGTTCACCGGCAGACACATGAGAGCGCCCCTCCCCCTCCCCAGGAGCCTAGAGCTGGGAAACAAAGGCGGGTGGAACATAGGGTAATTCTGGCTCCGACGCGGCTTGCTGCGTAAGCCTTACCCTAATCTTAGCCTCCCCTCCCCCTCTCTTCACCCTCTCCTCCCCCTCTCTTCACCCAGCCAGCTCTTCACACAGAAAATATTGGCTTTCTGAGGAGCACGTGACAAAACATGATCGATACCAGCACTATCCCAGACTCATACCAGAGAATTTCACTTTTCACAGGGTTTGTCCATGTTATGGTGGTTCCATTCAAAGTATTAATTTCACTAAATCACAACAGTAGTGGTCTTGGAGGACGATAACAAGCTGTTGATTCAGCATCACAGATCAGAGAATCAAACCGTTCAGACACAATAAACAAAAACATATAGAGCCATAAAGGGCGGAAACCAATGTCTGTAAATGTTTGTTAGTATTAGATAGCAATATGGCCTACGTGCAGGACTCTACAAGGACTCCATGTTAAGACTATGATTTGACTGTCTCTTTGTGACACGTATGTCTTTCGATGTGTGACGTGACAATGACTATATAAACTGTGTACTGCCTTAATTCTGTCTGAGAGAAAGAAACAATGGAAACCACTGGAACTTGAGAGAAACTTAAATAAACTTCCAGAGTTTGGCACACCACGATCCGTCTCTCTCTGCTTCATCCCTGAACATGTTGTTGAATGTGGAGAGGCTACAGACCCAGGACCCGGGCTGCAGACCCAGGACCCGGGCTACAGATCCAGGACCCGGGCTGCAGACCCAGGACCCGGGCTACAGATCCAGGACCCGGGCTACAGATCCAGGACCCGGGCTGCAGACCCAGGACCCGGGCTACAGATCCAGGACCCGGGCTACAGATCCAGGACCCGGGCTGCAGATCCAGGACCCGGGCTGCAGATCCAGGACCCGGGCTACAGATCCAGGACCCGGGCTGCAGATTCAGGACCCGGGCTGCAGACCCAGGACCCGTGTTACAGCTCCAGGACCCGGGCTGCAGATCCAGGACCCGGGCTACAGATCCAGGACCCGGGCTACAGATCCAGGACCCGGGCTACAGATCCAGGACCCAGACTGTAGAACGATGACCGAGGCCAGAGAGGTTTTGCCTGTGCCTTTGAAAATGGTCCAATATCACCCCGATTGGTCAAAATAATGGGAAAAGAAAATACTTTTTTTTAAAGGTTTTGTGGATTCTAACGTTAATGTTTTAGAATCAGGACAAACTTGAAGAATATTCAAGGATCAGATTCTTGGATTTAAGGCCATGGAGCCCTCGGTATTGCTCCTAAGTATTTATATATTAAGCATCGGTCTCATTAACACCGAAAGGATGACGTCTTCTGAAGAGAATCAGCCAAAGTCTGGGATCGTGTCTTTCATTCAGACAGAAGACATGTTTTATTGTCAATGGTAGAGACAGGACGAACAACACGAACAAGGATGTTACGACAGCAAGTGGTGATATACTCAGGAGAAACAGAGTCCTCCAATCAGCAGCTGCCACAGTGCCAGCAGAGAGAGTCAAAACAGGAAGTGGAAAAGTACAGGTTTCTGCACATTGATAGAATGATGAGTTTAAGCTTAACAAAAGTTGCTTCAAAGTGTTATGAAATCTCACACTTCTTTCGCTCGTTGCTACACATCGTATAAAGAGCTTTGTCTTCTTTTGTTCTGTCTGAAAGAACTGGGAAATAAACTACACATTAAGGAGTATGACTGTGTAGTTAATAAACGGTGATTTCAGTTTCAGCTGGTGGTGTGTGTGGGATGGTCTTTGGCGTCTGTCGTGGCTCACAGAGTTGGGGAGCACTGTTTAGACTCTCGTTGGACTCATTCACAGCTTTGATAATTTATTACATACTCCGTGAACTGTTCAACACCTCTGTCTCGTTACGACCACAAACAAAGACATTTTATTGTTTTTTTGTGTGTGAAAGATATTATCACTTCTTTTCACTTCATCATTCATGACTTAAACCGTGGTCGGTGAAGATTCCAATGCAAACTACCATTGATTAAAACTGTTTAATTACAGGTTCTCTTTTGTCTCAGCCGTCACCATAGCAACACACAGCATTGGGCAAAAACAGTCGATGTGACGGCTGTAGCCCTCGGTCACACTGACCTGCCACACTGATTCTTTTTATTTTTCGAGCTGAATTTTGATGATGTTTCCTGACTTGACCAGCTCTGGGACATTTAGACCCTTTTAGAGCCTAATTTAGGCTGATTTTTTCCTACTTTTAATCACTGTGGTGTCATTTTGACCCAAGACACAGGGTTTTTAAAGGCTCTGGCCATGAAAAGACAAATGGGAAAAACTAAAACAAAATGGTTAAAAGCCGTGAGAAGTGGAAGCAGCAGCTGAGC